TCCTCCACCCTGTCCCTACGGCCCTCTGTCCTCTGTCATAGGTACTGACCACTGATGGTCCTCCACCCTGTGCCCACATCCCTATGTACTCTCTCATAGGTACTGACCACTGAGGGTCCTCCACCCCATCCCCATGGCCCTTTGTCCTCTCCCACAGTTACAGGAGTCTGGGGTCACAGGACATCTGTCCTTTTCTGCCCCATTATTTGTGGGGATGTGCTGGTCAACAGGAAAATCCTCCTTTAGCCGGAACACAACCAGTATGCTTGCCAACCTCTCCTTCCCAGGGGCACTCACGGTTGGTTTCTCACCTCTGCGCTCCTCTGGCCTCTGGAGCTTAGGCCTGGGGTTCAGTCTGCCTTCCTCCCAAATTCCAGAAAATACTCACCCACCTGCTGTTGCCCCGCCCATTGCAGGCCTGGCACCTGGACCCGCCCCACGGGACACCTAGCCTGGGTCCGCCCCACTCACCAGTCTGCAGCTGAACCTCAGTCCCCCTCGGTGGTAGCAGATTCCCTCGAGTGGTCACTTGCCAAAACCACGCCGCAGCGAGACACCCGTGATTCCGGGAAGCTCTCTGTGTCCGTGGGGTGTCCCTGTCCCGGTCTCGCGCGCCCGGCCGCCCAGCCTACTGCGCAGCACATTCAGCACATAGCTTTGGGGTGACCCGCCCGTGACTGCGCGCGCCCGGCAGGCTGTGCACATTCCCTGCCCTGTGCCTGGTCTAGTCCTGTCCCTGTCCCCGCACGCTAGGATGCCTGGATGCCGGCGCAACAAACTCAGGACATAGTTGTGGGGTGACCATCGTACACCCGGCCGCCACTCCCACATCCCGGGCAGCGTTCACGCCCATCTGGAACATCCTTCCGCCTTGGCCGGCGGTCCTCTAGGAGATAGGAGACTCGGGTTTGAGCTCGCGGACCTGGGCCAGAGGGAGTCCACCCGCAGGCTGTGACCGGGTCAGGACGATCACTCGGTGTGGGCTCTCAGAGGCGTCCCGCGCGCTGCTCCGGGCCACTCAGTGCCCCCGCAGCCCACCCCAGGCGGAGGGACGCAGCGGAGAAACAGGACTCTGGAGTCTCCCCTAGTTCATCCCTGCAGGGTTCTGACGCCGCTCGGCACATGTGCAGCGCTCACCTGACAACCCGCGGGGTACCCCGTGCAGTCCCCTCGCAGCTCTGCGGGCCCGGCGCTTCCTAAACTCCACGTCCGACCGGATTGGCGGCCCGACACCCACGTGCGGGCCCGGAGGGAGGGACGACCGCGGCTCTGCTCTAACAGCCGCCGCAGACGGCTGCAGGGCTGGTGCGGTCCTGGAGTGACCCACGGCCTGAAGTGTCAGCCTGAGTGGCCGCTCTGGTCACCCTGACACCCCGGGACGCCCACACATCACTGGGAGCAGAGTGGGTTCACCTGTGAGCGTAGCAGCGGATGTGACCAGGGAGGAGTTACTTCAGCCGCCTGCTCCCGAAAGCCCTTGGCCCCTTTCCAAGTGCAGGTGGGCCGGTGGATGGAGTGTGTCCCTGCCCAGAGCTGAGTTCTCCTTGGCTGACCCAGTGAACCCCCAGGCTCATGGCTAGCCCTCCACTCTCTCGGTCTCCCCAGTGAGGACCCACCACAGTGGTCTGTGATTGGGAATGCAGCAGGTCCTAAGTCATATCCCCACTTGGGCCACCTGCTCCCATCCAACCGGCATCTGTTCAGGGTGTACACGTTCCCAGTTTACATGGAGTTGGAACCTCTGTGCCTGGGACCTCAGTGGTCCACCATCACCCACCTTCTGCCCTTTCCTCCACTGCCGCCCTAAAGAAATCCCTCCCTTAGTGGTCCCTCCCGTCCCTGCCAACTGCCCTTCCCCTATCCTTCACTCCGTCCCCGTCCCCCACCCTTTGTCTGGTCCTCAGACTCTCCCCCTCACTCCTCCTGTCTGCTTCCCCCTCCCCTCCCCTCCCTGCTCTCCTCCTGGGTGGCGGTGATGGAGTCCAGGTGATGGGGACCTGGCTGGTGTACTTGTGTGCCATGTAGATGAGGACCATACACACTATGGTGTCATCTGAGAGTGGCCCGTCCACATCTGGAGGTAGTGATGTTGGGCTGACTTCACTTCATGAGATCATCTGACCTGGGTGGGTCACACTGGTTAAGTGATATGCTTAACACAGTGGGCTACCTGTGTCTAGAATGCTTCCCTTTCCCCCCTGCATCCCCTTTATTCTAGAATGTGATTTGGTTTTAAAAGTGCCACAGTCCTGGTTAGGCACTGTAGGATAAACACTAGACTGCTAACTGCAAGGTCAGTGGTTCAACCCCACAAGCAGCTCCTTTGGAAATCCTATGAGTCACTCTAAGGCACTTAACCACAATAGCACGTGAACACCAGCTCTTGTCGGGCGTACTTGTACTTCCCTTTGGACAATATTTGTGCTTTGCAAATAGTGTGACCACCACTTAGCTCAAGTGGAAGCAGCAAAGTGCTCTTTCCTCATCCTTCAAAGCACAGGAAGCCTTGCCCACAGTTCCGAGAGTTCTCGTGACCCTCACCTGCTCTCCAGCTCCTGGCTGCTGTTCATCTGACCTGACCTGACCTGACCTGACCCTCTGGGACTTAGGCAATCCCAGCCTGAGGTAAAGGGTGGAGAGTGTGTGGGCAGATGTCTGTCGATATCCATGCACAAGACAGGCCCAGAGACCACGTAAGGACACTGTCTCCCAGAGCAGAGGCTCGTGATTAGATGTGAGCATTCGAGTGCTCTTGCAGCAGAGGTGAGCAAGCCTCCAAACACAGTCAGCGTGGGAGAATTTTGCAGGGGCCAGGCGGCTGATAACTCACTCGGTGAACCTGCTCAGACAGTGGTGTGTGGGCAGAGACCTGGGAGGTCATCGTGACTCAGCCGCCATGTGGATTCTGAGCTAACCTTTTTAAAAAATCTATTGTGTTCGCTCCCCTTTTGAGGATTGCTGTTGTTGGCTGCCCTTGTGAGCCAAAAGGGTTTCCAGTGGAAGTGGATTACCAGGCCTTCATTCCTAGTTTCATTCTGGAAGCGCCGCTGGAACTTGTCCCGCATCACAGCCACCCACCAGCCTCCACGGATGGATGGGAGGGGGTTGTCCATGGAGTGCAATAACTGGGAACTGAAGGCAAAGATTCTAACACGGACCACAAATACCCCCTCCCCACCCCACACCCCTGTCCTAAAGGTTGCATTGTTGAAGGCTGCAGTGAGGTAAAATCTACAAGGAAGGGTCTACCAAGAACTGTGTCTTCTATGACCACGTGATTGGAACAAGGAGAAAGGAAGGTCTGTGTATTTGCCCTGTGGTCTCCTCCCCTGTGGTCTCCTTCCCTAACCCCATGTGCACTCCCTGTTCCCAGCCCCTCAGGGGGTCCCTGCATCCCAGTCAGAGGCACGGGGTGCCCACTGCCCCAGATCCGTCCGACTCAGTGTCCGTGCTGGATTGAGCAGACCTGCTCCTGATGGCTTCTGAGTCTGCAGGTTTTACAGGGGTCAGCAGCCTCATCTTTCTCCTACCCGGGAGAAGCTGGGATTGAACCTCGGACCTTGCAGTTAGCAGCTCAATACCTAAGCCACAGCGCTACGAGGGCTCCTTCTCTCAACCCTTTAAATCTTTGCTGTTGTTAAATACCCTCCAGTCGGCTCTAACTTACAGCATGTCTAACAGGTGACTGGAGGATCCTGATTCTCAACACCTCACCACCCCATTTCTTCCACTTAAAAAGAATTAAGGTAAAAAATACATACTAGAGGCCTTCAAAAAGGTCATGGGAAAATGGGATTAAAAGATAATGGAAATTTCCCATAAACTTTCTGAAGCTTCCTCATGTAACAAAAACATCTGCTAATTCCAGGATTTCTGTGCATGATTCAGTGACATTAATGACATTCATCATGTAGTTCAAACGTCAGCACTGTTTTCTTCCCACTCATTCTACCCCCATTAACAGAGAAATGGAGGATAAAAGTCCCCCACCCCATTCACACCCTGGGACATGCTGGGTTTCCCCAGTAGCAATTACCTACTGGACCAAGCCCACCCCTAATTACACCCACTGGAAGAGGAGTTTTGTTTTCTGCAGCTGGGCCCCACAGACATGAGAAAACTCCCTCATAGAGGTAACCGGATGCCACACCAAACCAGATGGCCTGGTCCACCCTCCAGAAAATCCCAGCTCAGCTGCAGAGGCTCGAACACAGAGGAGGCCTGTAGGCGTTTCTCTCCGGCTTGTGCTGACCAATAGAAAGTGCAGGACTAAGTCACGGGGGTCAGAAGGGACTGAGCTGATTGAGTCCTGTGAGTCTCCCCAACCCGGCATCCCCACTGACCAGAGGTCCAGCATGCAGACCCAGGGTGCAGACCCCTGATGGAGATTTCCAGCCTGAACACTCTGAGTGGAAGGGGGCTGTGAAGTTCCAGTGGGACCCTGGTACCTTAACATACCACAAACCGAGGCTGCAAAAAGTACTACGACTTCATTATCTCACCAGCTCTGGAGAGCTGAAACCCAAATTTAAGGTGTGGGCAAGAAGGTCTAGGGGAGCGTCCTTCCAGCTCCTAGCTGTCCTGAGCTTGTGGCTGCATCTCTCCAATCTCTGCGTTGTCTCCCTCTGTGTCTCCTCTTTTATAAGGACCCCTCTCATAGGATCAGAGCCCACCCTACTGCAATGTTAAATTAATAACTAGCAAAGACACAAGTCTGAGGGTCTAGGGGAGGGTCCTTCCAGCTTCTGGTGGTCCCAGATGTCCTGTCCTTGTGGCTGCATCTCCCCATCTCTGCCTCATCTTCTCATGACTGTATCCCTCTCTGTGTATCCTTTTTTCTGTATCTGTCAGAAAACCCAGTTGTGTCGTGAGTTAAGTGTTGGGTTCCTAGCTAACTGCAAGGTCGGTGGTTCAAACCCACCAGCCATTCCCACTGGAGAAAGAAAAGACTTATGTTGTTGTTGTTATTAAGTGCTATTGAGTCGGTTCCAACCCAAAGAGACCCTAGTGTTTCCTAGAACCTTGTGGTTCAAGCCAACTTTGCAGTTGAGCGCCACACCAGGACTCCAGTCTCAGAAGCCCTAAGGAGTAGCTCGACATGGTCCTATAGAGCTCCCATATATCAGAACCAACTCGATGGCAGTGCTTTGGCTTAGGTTTCATCAGGCTGCCAGTCTTTGGAGTCCTGGTGTGGTGTTGCTGCAGGATAAACACTGGGCTGCTAACCTCAAGGTTGGCAGTTCAAATCCAATAGCCACTCCTGGGACACCCTATACGGAGCGGCTCTGAGTTAAAAACTACCATCAAACAACAACCAGTCTTTAGAAACAGGCCCCACCCTAATCAAAGGGGACTTCACCTTGATCCTTATTCAGTTCCACCTAGAGACTTCTTCTCTAAAGTTAAAAGAAAAACAAACAAAAAAACCAACACTGCCTTTGAGTCAATTCCACTAAGAGAACACATTAGAATTGCTGTGTGTCAGAGTAGAACTGTGCTCCACAGGGTTCTCAGTGGGTTATGTTTCATAACTAGATCCCACCCATGGTACCTCATGTGTGTGTGTTAGAGTAGAACTGTGCTCACAGGGTTCTCAGTGGATGATGTTTCATAAGTAGATCCCATCATGGTGTCCCGTGTGTGTCAGAGTAGAACTGTGCCCCACAGGGTTCTCAGTGGATGATGTTTCATAAGTAGATCCCCACTCATGATGCCCCCGTGTGTGTCAGAGTAGAACTGTGCTCACAGGGTTCTCAGTGGATGATTTTTCATAAGTAGATCCCCACTCATGGTGC